ATTGGATTCTCGTCGAGCTTCAGCTCCCATCCCTTAAGACAATAGTGTATGACAGCATGATAAATTACATATCATTGGCTGATTTAAGAGATGTTATTAAGGGATGGAGCTCTCATTTGGCTAAATTCTTGGATGCGATCAATTATTGGACTCGTTCTGGAAACAAGAAGCCAAAGAAGCTCAATATTACAGTTATTAGAGACGAGACCGCGCCACAACAAACGAGCGGAGCCAGAGGAGATTGTGGTCCTCTCGTATGCTTGGCGTTGGAGCGTTTGACGACGGGAAGCATCAAGTATCTACCTCCCACCGATAGAGATAAAGCTGCAGTAGGCTTGTGGTTTCGGCATTATATGGCTAAATCGATATATACGAGACGCTGCCTACCTGCATCCGCGTTATAAAATGTCCATAAACAATTGGTAAGTTTATATACTTTTGGTTTGAAAATGTTTGGTTAAGTAACTAGAATTCAATAATTTGTAGAAAGTGTTGTCTGAACAAATGTTTGGTTTCTGCAGGTTAATCTCAGAAGTGAACTGCGTGAAAATGATGTCGAGCTGCAAAAGTTGATTCAATAGTTTAATTGATTGTTTTTTGATTGTTTAATTGATTTGTAAAAGTTGATTCAATAGTAGATGATCGGAAATAAGAATTATTGCTTATTTTTGATTGTTTAATTGATTTGTAAAAGATGATTTGTAAAAGTTGATTTGTGTAATTGATGCGAACATAATTCTTATTTGTGCTTGTTTAATTGATTGAAATGTAATGGTTGATTTTGTTGATTTCAATCTGCATTATGTTGAAGGCAAAAATGACTATCGCAATGCGAAATGAAAATCGCAACGAGAGAATCGCAATGCGAAATGAAAATCGCAATGCGAAATGAAAATCGCAACGAGATAATCGCAATGCGAAATTATAAACGCATTGCGATTTTCATTTCCGCATTGCGATTTTCATTTCGCATTGCGATTCTCTCGTTGCGATTTTCATTTCCGCATTGCGATTTTCATGTTGGGATTTTCATTTCGCGTTGCGATTGTATTTTCCGTGTTGCGATAGTCAAATGCATGCCTAATAGTGATAACAACTGAATAACAAGAGTTGGTTAAGTCAAAATGGTTGGCCTGAGTCATTAATTCAACTGAAAATGTTAAAAGTTCACACATAAAATCCACATAATACAACGTTTGCATTTAAAAATCACCTAAGTTAACAGTCTCAAAAGGTGAAGCCAATCGTGATTGGGATTTTAAAGATGATTGCCTTTTGCTTGACACCATATGAGCTTTGGATTTTGATGAGGATCCATATTTTGGTAGAGGAAAAGATGATTTTGATGGCACTGGTGATCCACATGTCAACCTTGTATGACCACTTTCCTTGCACCGACTACATGTCGATCTCTTCTTCTCTTCACCCTTAGACGGTATACGATCGTGACTTTTTGGTCGGCCAGGTAGCCTTCTGTCCATGGCTGGTGGCAAAACTGTTTGTAAGTCATCTGGTATGTCCCACTCAGAAGGATGTGGAATAGGGTAGACAATCTCGGCATAAGTCTGTCGATAAACTTCTGTAGTGTAGCAATCCATAGCGTATGCGCTTGAATCATCTTGGTTTAAATGAAGAGCAACTTTTATAACATGGCCACACGGATAACCAGATGTTTGCCATTTCATACAACTACACGTCTTTGCATTTAGATCGACTAGCCCATTTAAGTTATTATCCAGTACTTGAAACAAAGTGTTTGAACATGGTTCAACTCTCCATGACGTTGACTTCACAACACGTTTCGTTATCTTTTTTCAGTCCATGGTGTAACACGATGTTCCAATGTTCCTGTAAATTTAAATAAACAATACTTAGTAAAATATATAATATGATAAGTTACGAATTCAAAGAAATAATACCTGCATGGTTTCTTTTCTTGTAGTACCACTGTTGAATAGAGGCTCGAAAAAACTCCATTAACATAGTAATGGGTAATTTCCGGGAATGACGACTTAGAGCGTTGATTGATTCTGCACTATTAGACGTCATGAAACCATATCTTGCTCCAAGTTGATGTACTCTTGACCATCTTTCAAACCCGACATCTTCTAGTGTTTGAGCACACTGAGGCAAAACACGTCTTAAACAATTTATATGCTTATTGAAATCCACTTCCCGATAAGCTTTTACAGCCTTCCAGTATGTCCATTTGTGCTTTTTTATACCAGCAGACCTTGATTTTAGATTTCTATACAAATGAACACCACAAAGTCCATGAAAAGCATCTGGGAAACACCTTCTAACAGCGTTGTCAATTGAGTTTGCCCTATCGGATATGATTGTCAGATTGCTAATAGGACCTATGCAATCCCTAAGATGCCCCATAAACCATGTCCATGAATCAGAGGTTTCAGATTTGCCAACCCCGTAAGCTATTGGCAATATCCCATTGTTAGCATCCATGGCTACTGCTAATAAGTTTACTCCAAGGTATCGACCTTTCAAATGTGCTCCGTCAACTATAATAACTGGGCGCATGCAAGTAATAAACGAACGAATCTACAAAATAATATACACAAGAAATATAATCATTTAAATGTGAAATGCATGTAACTAACAAAAATGAGTCAACAAAATTATATTGATTTACTAACCGTAGCACCAATGGCGATAAACAGCAACTCAAAGCGTCCATCTCTATCTGTTTTGATATGAGTTACCGACCCAGGATTTTTCAGCTTTAAATTGTGACAATAAGCCGGCAGTTGGGCAAACGATGCTTCTGGCGACCCCCTCAACAATTCCAAGGCATAACATTTGGCTCTCCAAGCTTGAGAATATGATATACTAATCTTGAACCGAGCATTCATGTCAGTCATAATTTCATGTCCCCGATATACCCTGCCATTCAAAAACATTAACTCAGCCAGAAAACCACCCAACACCTTTTTGTTTGCCTGTCTATGGTGAGGAAAAACGAGGGTTCTTGAACATGTATGTTTATCAATAAAAGTCCTAACTTGAAACATTTTGCAATCTTTTATTCTCTTTGCAATCATACGCCACGTACAGTTTTTGTCAATCATACACCTTGTTTCGAAACGATCTTTGCTTGATTTGTTAACTTTTAGTTGATAGCCATCTTCCACACATTTTGTATACAAAGCTATCTTCAAGTCTTCCTTTGTATCAAAACAATCATCTTTCTTGACACGAATAACTTTTGTGTAACAATCAACTGCTTTCTTTGCCAACTCTTCTTCCGGTAACTGAAGTAATTCTGGCATATTCCAGTTATACTCCCGTGGCATTTTCTTTTCTTCGGGACTTTTTCTTCTTCTTTTTCTTCTTCAGGATTATATGAATTACAGAATGGATGTTCAACATGTTCATTCACAGTCGTAACTTCCTCCTCATTATCATCAACAACATCTTCCTCGGCAACGGGTGTTTCATCATCAAAATTCGGGTATTGACCAATATTAAAATCATTACACACATGGTCTGTTTCTTCTTCTGAAACATCATCAAAATCCGTGTATTGACCAATATCAAAGTCCGGATATTGACCAAGACCAAATTTCGAATACTGACTAGTACTCACAATTTTTTCTGTTGGCTCATCATCGTCTAACTGGTCAATACGAAAACCGGAATTTGGTGCTGAAAGTTGATTGGGATTTGGATTAGAGAAAGGTTGTGGGTTTTGAGAAAAACTTAGTTGATTACTACCCGCTACTGACCCAACAATACTACTTCTAGGTTCAACAACATACAATGTAACATCATCTTGTGAAACACTAATGTAAGCAATGAATCGTTCAACATCTTCATTGTCGGTTAACAAATAAACTTTACCATTTCTCTGATAAGATAGCCTAAATCCACTTAGGGGCTCTAAATTCAATTTATTTGAAACACGTAGCATTAGAGTTTCATAAGTTAACTTTTGTAAAGACAATTTTAGTTGAAGATTCATGGGTAAAGGCATATATTGTAAAACACCATGAACATTATCCCATGACCCTCCAAAACACAAATCTATCCAAACATGATCAGATGATTTCATGGTTGTAAATTAATTTACTAAACAGACGAGCTGCGAAACTAAAACCTGTTGCCGGATTGGGAAGGATGTCGTTGGATATAGGAACGGATGTCGCCGGAGAGAGTGATAGATGGAGATGGAATGAGTTGCGATTTAGGGATTTAGTTTATGATTTCAGTGTTATATACCCAAAATTTCAGTGTTGTGATTTACAGATTCTCGTTGCGATTTACGGATTATCGTTGCGATTTACAGATTCTCGTTGCGATTTACGGATTATCGTTGCGATTTACGGATACGCGTTGCGATTTACGGATTATCGTTGCGATTTACGGATACGCGTTGCGATTTACGGATACGCATTGCGATTTACGGATACGCGTTGCGATTTACGGATACACGTTGCGATTTACGGATACGCGTTGCGATTTTATGTATTATCGTTGCGATTTACGGATACGCGTTGCGATATACGGATACGCATTGCGATTTACCCATACGCGTTGCGATTTACGGATACACGTTGCGATTTACGGATACGCGTTGCGATTTATGTGTTCGCGTTGCGATTTTCATATTCGCGTTGCGATTATTGAAAATCGCAATGCGAATTTGTACTATCGCATCGCGATTTTCAAGAATCGCGTTGCGATTTTGGAAACTGATTTGCGATTCTGGGGATCGCGTTGCGATTTTTATTTCGCGTTGCGATTTTGTTGGTCATTTTGGCAAATCCAAAAAAAGTTGGTTAAAATCGTATATTATAACTTTTTTTTGGTCACTGAGGCGATTTTCTCTAAAAAAAAAGCATTATTAGTTTTATTTTAAAGGTTTCTTAGCTGATTTTTGTTTGTTTCGTCAAAATATAGTTTTGGTGTTTAGTGTAATTTCAGAAAAGAAGAAAAGAAAAAGGTTTTGAAGTTAATATATTTAAATATATGAAATGCATCAGCGACTAACTGGCTTTCGTTTTCACTGTCTCCAATGGAGCAGTTGAGGTCATCATCTGAGTCTCAGTTTGTGTCATATGAAGGATCCTCTGCTGTTACTCCCCATTATCTGATCGATAACTTCTGTGCTAATGGTATGGCAAAGCTTTCTCTTCTTCCCCCCCCCCTACTGTTTGGTTGTCTAGAAAATACGAGAAAATTCAAGGTTTGAGGCGTTTAAGTTTCAAGTTCATTTTACTGCTGATTATGTTTAGCAAAACCGACTTAAACAGCTCACTGCCGAGAATACTGAAAATTTCTTGTTTTTTTAAGGCTGGACAAATCCGGAAAATCAAGTGTTTTTTGAAGGAGGTGAGAACCGAATCAATGGAGCTCAAACGGAAGCATCAATCGCGGATGAATACTCCATTTTCACGAATTTCCATTATCAAGCACCGAAGCTCGAAGACTTCCTTGGCGATTCTTCGTCGATCGTTAGATTTTCTGACAGCCAAACAGAAACCCAAGATTCGTCTTTAACCCAAATATATGAGCCTCAAGATCTCAAAGAAATTACTGGATTTCAAGCGTTCTCTACGAACTCTGGGTCGGAGGTTGATGACTCGTCGTCAATGGGTGGAACTCAATTGGCTCGCCGTCAGTTACCCGGTCACTCGATTGAGTCACGCGGGAACAATAGTAAAAACAACACTTGCAAGGCCATTGTTACGGTTGACTCATATGAGCCTCAAGATCTCAAAGAAATTACTGGATTTCAAGCGTTCTCTACGAACTCTGGGTCGGAGGTTGATGACTCGTCGTCAATGGGTGGAACTCAATTGGCTCGCCGTCAGTTACCCGGTCACTCGATTGAGTCACGCGGGAACAATAGTAAAAACAACACTTGCAAGGCCATTGTTTCGGTTGACTCGGATAGTTCAAAGAAGATTTCTGATACATTTGGTCAACGAACTTCGATTAACAGAGGCGTCACCAGGTAAAAATAACCCATCAGTCAGTCTTCTCCTTCAATTTTTCAAAGTATTTTTTTGGATTTTTTTGCTAAAAATTTAGCTCACAAGGATTTAAATATCATCAATATTTAATTTGATTTAAAAATCAGAATATTACATGTTGATTTGATTTTTTTTAAATCGAAATGGTAATCTAGACACAGGTGGACGGGTAGATATGAAGCTCATCTATGGGATAACAGCTGCAGGAGAGAGGGTCAAGCCAGAAAAGGCCGTCAAGGTCTCATTTTCTTTCTTTTCTTACACATCAATGCTCAGGGATTTAAATAGCCTGCTGTTATAGAAATATTGACTGGGATATAGTAATAATGATGTTAACCGAAACCTTTATTTGCAATAATACCTATTATATCTACAATTATAATAAATGTAATAAAATAAAAATATAAGATTATAATAGTAATTTAAGTCCCTCATTATAATGTACAATTATCAAATAATTACCCAATACGAATATATGATTTTTTAGAAAAATCGAATATATAAATATTACTATATTATAAAATATTCTAAATACAAATATCAAATATCAAATATGAATACAGTGAGAAGACTAGTGAAAAGAAGCATGCATGCAGTGGGACATTTGTCATCAGTCATTTAAAGATGATTGAGACACTGTGAGGTTATGTATGTGTCCCAAATGGTACTTTCAATTTGCTGCAAAATGTACGGTTCTCTTTTGATTTGAGCAGATATGCCGCCATTTTTGTTCATTGTCACTTTGTTTATTCATTTTTCTTTAATATCTCGCTCGACCTGAAGCCTATATGGCTTTCTTTTTCCTTAGCATTTCAGAGATTTTGATTGCTTTGGCTTTTGCCTTAGCATGTGTCTCACGGTGACTAAATTCACAATTTTTATCTTCAAGGACTAATAGAAAAATTCCCAGGAAAGATTAACAGAAAGTTTTTCTTTTAACCATGTATTATGGATTAGATTTATGCATAAAAATTCGAATATTGACAATCTCTGCTTTAATTTTTGCATGCAAATCTGGAATCCTGGATGTTCAAACTCTTGTTTATACAGTATACTTGGGTGAGGAACTCCTAAGCTTTGTAGTTATTAAGTTTAATCCTGCAATTTCATACTGCTGTTATAAATTATTGGACTGAAAATTTTATCTTGTAATTTATCAGGTGGTTATGATAAGGAAGAAAAGGCTGCTCGGGCATACGATTTGGCCTCCGCGAAGTATTGGGGTCCGACCGCAACCACTAACTTCTCGGTATTATATATGCACAGTTCTTTATTATATATATATTTATATGTGTGTATGTATATATGTATGTATCTGTGTGAATGTGTGTGTGTGCGTGTTATATACAAATACAAGTATTTTAGGGAAAATGAAGATTATGTGAACTACCTAATGATAGTCATTTTGCTTGGTTTAGATTGCGAATTATTGGAAGGAGTTGGAAGAGATGAAGAATGTTACCAAGCAAGAGTTTATTGCATCCATAAGGAGGTAAGTCTTTGTGTACTTGACTGGTTTGATTTTCTTTTTCGGATGAGGATGATTGAACAGGGTTAATCTTTCGTTTGTCGATGTTTAATAGGAATAGTAGTGGATTTTCAAGGGGTGCATCGATTTACCGAGGTGTCACGAGGTTCGTACATTTTTGTTTAGACGTTGGATTATTTGTCGGATTCTCCGGTGAACGACTGAAGCATTATGTTGTCATCTTATATTTGCAGGCATCATCAACAAGGCCGATGGCAAGCAAGGATAGGTCGGGTTGCCGGAAATAAGGACTTGTACCTGGGTAATTTTAGTAAGGCGTTAGGTTACAATAATCGACCTATGAATGTACTTTCACACTTTAACTATTGTAATATTATTGTTTGAAACTGGCAATGTTTGATCTTTTATATGGTTCACAGCTACTGAAGAGGAGGCAGCAGTGGCATATGATATCGCGGCCATCAAATTTCGAGCTGCCAATGCGGTGACCAACTTTGAGATGAGTCGGTACGATGTCGAAGCCATTGCCAAGAGTTCCCTTCCCATTGGTGGGGCAGCTAAACGCCAAAAGCATTCACTTGAATCCGACCAAAAACCGATAGTAAACCATAAGGTACAACAACAGCTACCCCGGTGCAGCTCCAACAGCCATGGTATAAGTTTCGCTCCCATGCAGCCAGTTTCTGACATTCCTTGTGGAATCCCTTTCGATGCTGCAACAGCAACTGCAGTATTTTATCAACAGAATCTCTACCATCACATTCAGTCTACCAACATAGGCATCTGCGAGTCCCTCAGATTGTCATCGACAACGGCAATACCTACAATTGTAATGTTGCAGCCAGCAGTTGAGTTCTTATTGCCTCACCGGTCTTATTAGTGATAACTTGGCAAGAAAAGGGTTTTGTTTTGAAGGCTAAAGAATAGTAGTTGATGTTGCGGAAGACGACTATCGGATAGAGTAAAATCGCAATTGATAATTTGAAAAAATAAAAATGAAGATAAAAGAGACACAAAATTTACGTGGAAAACCCCTAAATAATATAAGGTAAAAACCACGAGCAACGGTAGAAGAATTTCACTATGAGAAAATATGAATTACAACCTCTTTCGATCTATCAAAGAGAAAACAATGATAATTCTCTCTAGATAAAAAAAAAGAGAAAACAACTCTCAAGAAATTCTCTAAATTCTCTCTAGTATTAGAAGAAAGCTAGAATATTTTGGGATGATTTTGAAGCTAAATGAGTTAAGGTATTTATAATAGAAGCTTTAAGGACTAATCTTGAAAATATCCTAAAAATTTAATGAATAAAGCTTGTAATTTGTCCATTTAGTTTTTAACCATTGTTGCATCTAATTTTGACATTTTATATTTGGTGTCTACCATTGTTGAAAATTTTATTTTTTTTCAACCTTACTAAATGCACTTTCGGTGCATGCTTTCAACAATTTCCCACTTGAAGATTTGATTGGCACAATCATATCTTCACACCATTCTTTCTACCTTGTACCATCATGTTGTTTATATCTCTGACAGTCCACAAGAGGATCGATACCAGGTAAATTTATCAGCATTGATTGCCTTCGTCATTAAATCTGTTATGTTGTCTTTGGTATGGATCTTCTGCATATCTATTGTTTTTTCTTCCACCTTTTCACGAATGAAATAGTACTAAACTCGTATGTGTTTTGTCTTTGAATGAAATGCTCGATTCCTTGCTAGATGCAAGGCGTTTTGACTGTCACAAAACAGAGAGACATACTCTTGATTATGCCCAAGCTCCTCCAATAACATCTTCAACCAAATTGCTTCTTTACTGGCTTGTGTAGCTGCTACATATTCTGCCTCTGTTGTGGATATAGCCACAACTGACTGCAATTTTGAAACCCAGCTTACAGCTCCACCAGCAATTTTGAACACATATCCTGTAGTAGATTTGCTTTTATTCAAATTCCCTACATAGTCAGAATCTACATAACCATTGATTAGTAAGTTTGATCCTCCGTAATATAATGCAACATTTGAGGTCCTTTTAATGTATCTGAGGATTCTCTTTACAATATTCCAATGTTCTTTGCTTGGATTCGCCATGTACCGACTAACTACTCCCACTGCTTGTGTAATGTCTGGTCTTATGCATATCATAGCGAATATTAAACTTCCCACTGTTGATGCATACGGCACTCGAGACATCTCCATCCTCTCTTCTTCACTGCTAGAACTCATACTGGAAGATAATTTGAAGTTAATAGGAAGAGGGGTAGAAATTAACTTACAATCTTGCATGTTGAATCGTGACAAGATCTTCTTCAAGTAATTCTTTTGTGAAAGCCAAATCTTCTTATTACTTCTGTCTCGGTGAATTTGCATCCCTAGAATATTGTTTGCTGATCCCAAGTCCTTCATTTCAAATTCCCTAGCCAGTTGTGTCTTCAATTCTTCAATATGATCTTTTTTAGGTCATGCAACCAACATGTCATCCAAATACAACAGCAAAATAACAAAATCGTTATCACCAGACCTCTTGAAATAAGCACAAGGGGCACATAATGAAAGAATCAAATCTCTTATACCAACACCTCGGCGCCTGCTTTAGACCGTACAGAGATTTGTTCAACCTGCAAACCAAATTCTTCTTTTCTTTTTCTTCAAAACCTTCAGGCTGGAGCATATAAATTTCTTCTTCAAGATTTTCATGAAGAAAAGTTGTTTTAACATCTAGCTGCTTTATATGTAAGTCCAATGTAGCACACATTGTCAAAACTACTCGAACTGTTGTTAGTCGAACCACAGGAGAAAATATTTCATTGAAATCAATACATTCTTTTTGAGCATATCCTTTGACCACTAGTCTTGCACAATACCTCTCAACTTGATCGTCACAATTTCACTTGATTTTGAAGACCCATTTGTTACCAATTGGCTTCCTTCCTTGTGGTAGTGGTACAAGGTCCCATGTATTATTTTTATGAAGGGCTTCAAATTCTTCTTGCATCGCCATCATCCACAGTGAAGCATCTGAGTTGTTTATTGCCTCCTGGTATGTTGATGGCTCACCGTCCTCTATTAAAAGGCAGTATGCAATATTACCTTCTATAACATAATATGAGTGCCAATTGGGATGTCTTCTCACACGATCTGATTGACGAGTTATTGGTGCTTCAGAACTCTCTGGTTCTTGTTCATCATGTGCTGGTTCTGCTTCAGAAGAATCTCCTTATTCAAACTTGTTTTCCACATTTATCTGTGTAGTCTCTGACTTTTCAGTACTATTATCGTCTTCTTTTCTTTGTAGTTTATCCTCTACAAAGATATCATCCATGCTGATGATCACTTTTCGGGCAGTGGGATCCCACAAGCGATACCCCTTGACTCCATCAGTATACCCCAAGAATTTGCATTTCCTGGATTTTGGATCCAGCTTTGAGATTTCTTGGGAGTTGTACATCACGTACACAATACATCCAAATATATGGAGGTTTGAATAATCAGCTGGTTTATCAGTCTACATCTCCATTGGTGTCTTCAGCTCTATTGCAGTTGATGGAGCTCGATTCACCAAATAACAGGCTGTATTGACTGCTTCTGCACAGAATGATTTTTCTAAGCCTGCGTCCCTCAACATTGTTCTTGTTCTTTCTAATAAGGTTTTGTTCATCCGCTCTGCCACTCCATTTTGTTGAGGAGTGTTCGCCACTGTGAACTGTCTTTTGATGCTTTCTTTCCTGCAAAAGTCATCAAATTCTTCTCTTGTGTATTCTCCTCTATTATCTGTTCTGAAACACTTGATCTTATTTCCAGAATCAAGTTCCACCCGCGCCTTGAAGTTTTTGAAAGTTGAAAATACTTCTTACTTCTTCTTGATAGGGTACACCCAACATCTCCTAGAGTAGTCATCAATAAATGAGACAAAGTATTTTGCTCCTCTTAGGGATGTAAATGGTGCTTGCCATACGTCAGAGTGAACCAATTCTAGAACACTTTTGCCTCTATAATTTGATTTGTTGAATTTCAACTGGTGCTGCTTACTTGTTATGTAATGGTCACACAAAGGAAGTGTTACATTTGTTAAGCCTAGAAGTAGGTTTTGCTCCACAAGGACTTTCATTCCTTGTTCTGACATGTGTCCAAGTTTCTGATGCCATAACATTGCATAATTTGAACTACATGAGGCAATAGAGGCTTCTGCTTCTAGCAAAGTCTCTCCCTTCAGCATGTACAAGTTTGCTGCTATTTTTTCGCCTTTCAGAACCACAAGCGCTCCACGGAACACCTTCATGAGTCCTTTCCGTGTTTCAATCTTGCTTGCATTAATATCCAACAATCCGTAGGATAATAAATTTTTCTTCAGGTCTTTCACGTGCCGCACATCTCGAACAACTTTAATTGTTCCGTCATACATCTTCAATTTGATGGTTCCCACGCCAACGATCTCTAAGGCATGATCATTGCAACTATGCACAGATCCTCCTGAGACAAGTTCATAATGATGGAACCATTCTCTTCTTGAGGTCATGTGATATGTTTCTCCTGAATCAATGAGCCATATATCTGCAAATCGTTTTCTTCCTTCCACGGTGGTTGACGCTTCACAGCATAGAGCATCTCCATCATCTGAAGTGTTTGCGATATTGCCTTTTGGATTGGAGTTTTTATTTAGACTCCAACAATCCTTCTTCAGGTGACCCTTCTTTCCACAGTTGTAACACTTTAAATTCTTCTTGCTCCTCGACTTCGATCTACCATGTTTGTGACTGTTGCTTTAGCCACATTCTGTTGATATCTCTCTCATCATTGTCAACGCTTCTGCTTGTTGCAGATTTACTTGTCTGTCTTCCTTGTTCTTACGTCGATTTTCTTCTTGTAGAACAACAGCTGCAACGTCATCGAAGACTAGACTGGTGACATTACTGTTTGTCAAGTTGATGATGAGTTGATCATACGAATTCGGTAGACTTTGAAGTAGAAGTTCAACACGTTCTTGTTCTCCTATTTTACAGCTTAAGGATGTAAGCTGAGAAAATAAAGTGTTCAGTGTATTTAAGTGCTCCGTTACTGAAGTAGATTCTGACATACGGAGAGTGTACAATTTTCTCTTAAGAAAAATTTTATTGTGCAACGATGTGGCCTCGTACAATTTGGTGAGATGATCCCATATCTCCTTAGCTGTATTCTTTTCCTCGATGCTTGACAATACTTCATCTGCTAATGCTAGATGAAAGTTTGTCATAGTATTTTCGTCCATTTCGATCCATTTGTTGTCATCTATGAAATCCACCGGCCTTTCACTGATAGCTGCTAGACAACCGTCTTTCCTCAGTATGACCTTCACTTCAATCTCCACAATGAGAAATTTCTCCCATTGAATTTTTCAATATCAAATTTCGTTGCCATAGCTTCTTTTACGGATAGCTCCCACTATTTCACTATCGTGAATAGTTCTCTGGAACCTTCAAAGAATAGGTAATAACTTCTTACTTTCTTATGTTGGAGGATCCACCTTTTGGTGGCAACCACAAAGATAATAAGCAGATATTACATACTCTAATCTAGCTCTGATACCAATTGTTGCGGAAGACGGCTATCGGATAGAGCAAAATCGCAACTGATAATTTGAGAAAATAAAAATGAAGATAAAAGAGACACAAAATTTACGTGAAAAACTCCTAAATAATATAGGGTAAAAATCACAGGCAACGGTAGAAGAATTTCACTATGAGAAAATATGAATTACAACCTCTCTCGATCTACCAAGGAGAAAACAATGATAATTCTCTCTAGATAAAAAAAAAGGAGAAAACAACTCTCAAGAAACTCTCTAAATTCTCTCTAGTATTGGAAGAAAGCTAGAATGCTTTGGGATGGTTTTAAAGCTA